TAGAAAAACGGATACTCTTAAATACGGTCATTTGAAATCAGGATACTCTTAAATACGGTCATTTGAAAAATGGATACTCTTATAAAGTAAAAAGTTTAATCAAAACTGTTTTTTTGCTTTTTTTGAGGAATGGAGTTTCAACAAAGAAGACCCATCTTTTGTGAATTTGCGTTTTGCTCCTCGTATTTGCCGGACTGATTTCCGTGGATTCTTTATTCTTGGGTCTTGTTGGGGACAGTATGTACAAAAAGGTGACGAACTACTGAAGAAAGGCACTGTAGAGGTAGGTACGGGGAAAAGCAACCACCACATACACTATTACTACAATCAACATGATCATGATCATGATCATCACCATCACCATCACCWTCATGATCAGCATCATGATCAGCATCAGTATCAGCAGCATCACTTCAGCAGCATTAAATAATAGTAACGACTTCATTTGCATTTATTATCATGATCAGCATCATCAGCATCATTAACACGACTAACACCTTCATTACCATTAGCATCGTCATCGATCAGCAGCATTGGCAGCAGCATCAGCAGCGTTATCATCAGCATCATCTTCATCATCAGCGTCATCATCATCAGTCATAACTACCACCATTGTATCATCGTCATCATCGCCAACATCATCATCATTATCATCATTATCATCATCACCGTCATAACTATCACCATCGTATCATTGTCATCGCCATCATCACCATCATCGTTATCTTTATCATCATCATCTTCACCATCATCATCTTCATCATCATTTTCATATCATCTTCATCACCATCATCATCTTCGTTATCATCTTCATCATCATTTTCATATCATCTTTATTATCATCATCATCAGCATCATCATTATCTTCATCATCATCTGCCAACAATTTCAACAAGTTGTTCATCATTTACAAAAACAACAAAATATTACAAAATATTTTTTTGTGTTTAGATTTCAGTGCGTCATGGTGAACTTAAACTGTCTGAGCTTCATGTTCGTTCACGCGCTACCAAAGCTGTGGCTTCTCTTACCGGCACTACTGATTCACAGCCACTCAACGTGCAAGTATCTCAGGTACTGATCGCGTTACCGCGGTTATTTTAATGCCATACTTATAAAAATTAAGATTTATGATTGACAAGGTTGGATTCTCTTTACAATACAGATGGGCGAGACGGTGTCTCTTAAAAGGCAATTTTCTTTCACTGTGAAACTCACGGAATCGTCGCACCGTTGTCGAGCATTTTGATTGAATAAGCAGTCGTCTCGCGCGCTTTTTACGATTCCAACAGTGTCGCCAATACCTTACTTCACCGTATTTGAGTATTTTGATTGAATAAGCCGGCAGTCGTTTTACGCGCTTTGATCGATTCCA